CCCCCCCCCTTCCCGACGTTCACGGCGATGTATCCCCTTACCCGATCTCTGCCGCCCAGCGGCTGTTGCCCCAGAATGCTAGCCCCGTTGGCCTGCTCGCCACCGTTAGCGACCGGGGGGACAGAGGACCTCCGCACACCGCCGTGGCCGCTTGAGTCTTGGTTTCCCGCTACAGCCTAGGTGGGGTTCGGGGGGGGAGGGACGCACACGTGGCCCGACAGCACGGGAGGGGGGAGAGTTAAGCATCGCTAGGTCGTTCCTGCGGCAGCAGCGTTGCAAGGGAAACTGTAACAGCGGTTTCGTCTACAGGCGCACGAGCACACCGAACAAGAGCTTGACTATGTGCACCCACTACCGACCCGACTTCACTGCAATTACTCCTCGCCGAGACAAACAACAGCAGTCGTCTCTTGAGACAACGGACTGCCGCGGCGATTCTCCCGCGGACAAGCTCTCACCCTCTCTTCACGCCTCGAAGTTGGCAAGCATACATGGTAAGCGGACAACTTAACCCTCGTTCGCTACATGCTGCCGTCGCACTTTCCCCCTCAGCACAGACGCTGACCTACATCTGCCACGCCATAAAATGCGGTCCGACACACGTGCCACACCTACCCGGAACATTGCACAACAAGCACTCCCTCCAAACGCATCAACAACCCCCGCACACAAAATCAAACCCCCACCTCCTGCTTGTAGAGCCAGTCCAGGTACTGCTGCAGCACGATGGACCAGCCGCCGAATTCCTTGTTAACGTGGTACGGCGACGCGGCCGTGAAGTGAATCAGCGCCTTCCGAGGCATCGTTCGGGCGGCGAATACGCTCAACACCTCCGTCTTTCCCGCGCCGGGGAGGCCCTCTAGTAGCACCACGGAGCCGGTACCCGTGCTCACCAGGGCTATCTTGTGCTGCAGGAGACAGATGCGGCTCTGGTGGTGGTGGAATGGGGTTCGTTGGGGAAGCGTTGGGGAGGGGGGGGGCACGCGCAGATGCATCACGACAGCAGGCGCGTGAGCGTGCGGCATGGCGTTCGTTCGTGTTGGGGGCAGCGCTGGCGCGGACTGGGGGCACGCACAGACAGCGAGCGATATGGTTGTCGGGCGTTGTCGTCGTCACAATTGAGGAAAACTGAAGGCCTCTGCAACAAAGCAAACCCGCCTCTGCGGTACGTATTCCGCGTCCCGTCCCACCGATAAGGGACGCGGGTCGTGTGGTCGAAAGCTAAAAAAACAACAAGCATTAAATAAAGTACACACGCACACAGGGATATCAACCAACCCAAAAAAGAAAAAGTACCGAGAAACCCCCAAGACCAGAGGTTGGATGACAACAAAATCGTCGCCATCGTTCAAAAACAACAAGGTGGTCGCATGACAATAAAATCGTTGTAATCGTTGTCAACCAACACCAACAGGTCGAACGAAAATAACAAATTCATCGTCATCATTGGGCCTCTTTTGCGCACACGCAAGAGCGTGTCCGTCCAATCCATCTCTGGCAACAGGCAGGTTAGTGGAAGGTACGCCATGAAACACAAGCGGCAAAAAAAAAAAAAAAA